GGATTTGGGTCCGGCGAGAGGAGCGGCCCGTCCGCAGGAGGCGGCGGGAGCGCCGGGTGCAGGCAAAGAAGGGCTGGGTCGGCCTTTCTGCAGCAGCGTGCCCGAGCGCCTCGGGCAGGGGCCGGGGGCAACAGAGCTTCTTAGCATGACAGCAGGAGGACGGCAAAGGAGCGGCTGGTGAGCTGGCTGCTACTTAATGGCTGTATTTTGACCTAATCTGTTGAAACTGACTGGTTTTAATCAGAATAGTTATTAAATAGCTACTTTTACAGAGACATTGCAGCTCGTGCTGAGACTGTTTCTTGCAGCACTGTGAAGTTATTTTAATGTCGTAGGCGTATGTTCCAGTTACAGACTGACTGGTTTTAATCAGAATAGTTATTAAATAGCTACTTTTACAGAGACATTGCAGCTCGTGCTGAGACTGTTTCTTGCAGCACTGTGAAGTTATTTTAATGTCGTAGGCGTATGTTCCAGTTACAGAAGGGCAAAACTTGCTTTTTATTGCTTCAGACTTACATCATGCATGTGTATTTCTGTAGCAGTGTTTTTTGAACTTGGTTGGTTCTGTGCATCATTGGAATAACTGTATTGATGTGTGAATAGATCAGCTAAATAAACTGGATGTACTCTAGAGAGTAACAAATCTTATGTAAACCACTAGCCATACACAAAATGATATCACTATCCAAAAGTCTGCTCCAGTGTGTCCTTCAGGTACAAGCCAAGGTCTTTCTATGTGATAGCTCTGAAGGAAGGATTTTTTTCATGAACAGTTCTTGGCAAAAGAACAAAATGCTGTAATAAAGCGTCTTCTGAGTTAGTTAGTTTTTTGTAGGACTGACGAGTTGAACTGGCTCATGAGAGACTGGAGAAGTGCCAGAGCATGTTTTCAGTAAGCAGGAAGAGTGTGGGGAATATGGAATGGCAGCTTTCTCCTGCTGACAGGCCTGTTACAACCTTTGTTTGTACAGGCCTTGGGTTAATCATACAGCTGGTTTATAACTTGCACATTAATAGGACAGAGGTTGGCTTGGTTCTTGCAGTTGACTTTCATGTTTATTTAAAAATGTGGCTTTGTCAGTTAAGTAGCAGAGAGAGGATTTGAGTGTGTGATTGTTGTCGCAGATGGCCTCTTGAGGCACTGGTTTATTTCTCACCTTTGGAAGTAAGGAAATGAAAGCATGTCTTCTAGCAGGTATGCTGTTTATTATGAAATCTGTGGGGTTTTTCCACTTGGGCTTCTTAGAAATCTAGGGCTGAATGGAACCTCAAAATACCACCTCAATAAGCTTGGCTTACTGAACTGAGGCCCAGTTGCATTTTCCTAGGCCAATGCTGGTAGATGCCTGTCTAACATTCTTAAAACTTCGTGGTGCTCTGGTATTCACATCAGTGGCCAGTGTCACTTGTCTAGATTAAATAGACCCAGGCCTTTAACTTTGTGGTCTAGGGTATGTTTTTTTAACCCTGTTCCTATTTGTGGAGTAGTACCAGTTTTTATCATCTTACATGTGGTTTTGGGGTTGAGATTCAGTCTGTCAGAATGGGAATATCCAGGAAGTTTCTATTCCTTTTGGCCTTGGTTAGGCGCAGGGTTGTAAAGTGGGAAAGGGAATGACAAGTGCTGTAGGTCCAGTCATTTGTAAATAACCAGATGCGGGAATAGCAGGCCTGTACCTGTTTGTTTGGAGAAATTGTGTGTTTTGGGTTTTTTTTGTCCCCAAGTGAAACAATGACTGATGTCCTTCTGGTGTGACCAACAGCTCCTGGTTCTAATCGCCTTCCCCTCTTCTCCCACAGAAAGCGGTTATCATGTTGGGCTCTGGGTTCAAGGCTGAGCGCTTGCGAGTCAACCTGCGCCTTGTCATCAATCGCCTCAAACTGCTGGAGAAAAAGAAGAGTGAGTATTCGAAGGGGCAGGTGTCACCCAGGATGCTTTTGGGGCTTGGGAGACTTGAGGAGGAGGTTTTCATGAAGTCAGGGTACTTTCGTGGGCTGAGTATGGAGTAGCCTTTTGCTCTTCCTTGCTGGACCCAGGCCTTGCAGTCTGCTCCAGTGTGCAAGTACCCAGAGGAGCAGGCTGGCCACTCTGTCCACCTTCCTGGCAGGTGTCAGGGTGCAGTTTGAGGTGCATGGGGTGGTAGCTGTGGGCCATGTGCGGAGGGATATGCCCAGGGGGCCTTTCCTGGTCCTTCTGTGCTCACAGCATAGTGGGGGACTTCCTGGGTGCTGTGGGAGGCTCTCCCCACCTGTGTTGTCCTGCCCTGCCCAGACACAGATAAGATCTGTGGTTCTGATTGACTCTGCAGGGAAGCTGAAGGTGTAGGTGTGTTTCTAGCAGCTAACAGCCCACTCTTCTTTCTCATGCAAGTTAGTGTGCTAGGACCAAGCCATGGCTCAGTGTCTCGCTCTGCAGAGGCTCAGTGAAGGAGAGAGGGAAGCTCGCAATGGCTTTGTGTGCGGTGGGGGCTGTGTGAGGGTACAGAGGCAGCAGTCCCTGCCAGCACAGTGACTGGTCTTGGGGATATGTGCTTTAGCTGAGTTGGCCCAGAAGGCAAGGAAGGAGATTGCAGATTATCTGGCAGCTGGAAAAGATGAGCGTGCCAGGATTCGTGTGGAGCACATCATCCGTGAAGATTACCTTGTGGAGGCCATGGAGATCCTGGAGCTGTACTGCGATCTGCTGCTAGCCCGCTTTGGCTTGATTCAGTCCATGAAGTAAGCTCTGGCCTAGAGGGTATGCTGTGGGAGAGGGTCCAGGGCCCCTGGGCTCAGGGAGGGGTACTGCTGGGGGCAGGCCTGGGATATGGAAGGGCACCTGTTTGTCTCTGTGTCCTAGGGCCTCCAGAGACCTTTTCTTCCCTGGGCAGGGAAGATTCTGGAGCCCAGCATGGAGGGTGGGGACTTTCAGGCTAAGCAGGTTGGGGGCAGCAAAGACTAGGTGCTTGTTGTGGAGATAGGATTGTTTTCTATTGTCCTTAGGGAGCTGGACTCTGGCCTGGCAGAAGCAGTGTCTACGCTGATTTGGGCTGCACCGCGACTCCAGTCAGAAGTGGCCGAGTTGAAGATTGTGAGTAGGGTTGTTTGAGGGGTGTTATGTGTGCAGGGTGGGGGTGACACTGCCAGAAGCTGGTGGAAACCTTTGTCCAGGACTCTGTGTCGTTAACGCAGAGGACATATTTTTATGGGCTCTGCAGATGGAGACCCCAGTGTAGGTGTCCCTGGAGCATCAGGGATGGCTAAGGCTGCTCAGCTGGGGCACTCAGTGGCAGAAATGAGGGTGATCTGGGGTGGGTTGGAGGTGGGCAGCTACAGGGGCTACAGCAGATGTGCGCTGTGTGGTGGGGGAAAACTGGGTTGTGCAGGTTCCTAGAGTTTCTCTCCTCCTGCAGGTTGCTGACCAGTTGTGTGCCAAGTACAGCAAGGAGTATGGGAAGCTGTGCCGGACAAACCAGATTGGGACAGTCAATGACAGGGTAATGAGTTGGTGGAACAGCTGCTGGCAGAACAGATGTGCCTGCTGTGGCTTTCTGGCCAGTGGCTGATGCCTGTGGCTCACTGCAGAGTAGGGTGGGCCAGCTGGGGGCCCGCCTGCATGGGAGCATGGCGCTGCCATCCCTGGCAGGCAAGGCCCTGCTGTGCTGGCTGTGGATGGAGAGGAGCAGAGCACATGGCTGCTGACAACCAAGGTCAGGCCTCCTCCTGCAGCAGTGCCAAACTGGGAGGAAAGGCCTCCCGAAGGCTGTGCTTTGCTCCCTGCAATAGGCAGCCCTGGCCGGGATAGAGCTGCACTGTGCTGCGCTGCCCTGGTCCTGCTGAGTGTCTCTGCATCCTTGTGTTCTAGCTGATGCACAAGCTGAGCGTGGAGGCGCCACCCAAGATTTTGGTGGAGAGATATCTCATTGAGATTGCCAAGAACTACAATGTGCCCTATGAGCCTGACTCGGTGGTGATGGTGAGTGCGGCACCTTCTGTGAGTGCAGAGCTCCCGTCTGTGTTCCAGTGGTTGAAATGTCCCATTAGTGCTGTGGGTTTTTTCGGAGCACAGGGCTGCGGCATTGCAGCAAACTTGGTGGTAACTGTGCTTTCTAGACGGCCCTAGCGTAGCACAATCCCTCCTCCTTCCCACGGCCCTACAGCATGTGGTTGTAGTTCGTTATGCTATAGTCTCCTTCCCTTTCTGATTCCTGTTAATATCACTGTGTAGCTGCTGTGTGTCCATGTGGTCCAGTGACAAATGCTGTGTCTAATGCTCTTCAGAGGGCTGTGATCAGAATAGAGATGTGTTGGTGAGCAGAATTCTTTCACCCTCTCCAGGCTGAAGCCCCTGCAGGTGGAGAGGCAGATCTGATTGATGTGGGATTCACAGACGATGTGAAGAAGGGTGGCCCTGGAGGAGGAGGAGGTGGTGGATTTACAGCCCCACTGGTTGGTCACGATGGAATAGTACCCATGCCAGTGATGATGCCTATGCCCATGCCAACACCAAATCCGCCTTTCTCCTATCCACCTCCAAAGGGACCGGTAAGTGCCTTTGCTTTGTCTTCCCTTCTTCTGTGGAAGACTCCGATTGTGGTGCTTAGCCCTGTGCCTGCTGGTTGGGAAGTGTCTGCACCTGACAGCTCGGTGTGTCAGAAGGCCATTGTGTTGCTGTGGGACTGCATGGGATGGAACTTGTTGGCAGTGCAGCTGAAGCTTCGTGTTGCTTCTTGACTGTGGAGGTTCCTACCCCCTGTTCTCCAGCCAGCCCTCTTTGCCCTCAGGGAACAGAGGAGTCCAGACTTAACTCCTGAGGCAGTCTTCTGACTGTCAGGCTTTTGACCAGGGGTTGGAGCTGCACTTGGAAGTTGGTAGGCTGGTAGTGTGCCAAGATTCGGTCAAGGAAATCAGGTGAGTTTTGTGGGGTGGGAACAGCACAGAAAAATGCGGAAGTGCCCTGCCTCTGCAGGAGGGAGGAGACCAGGCCAATGGCACTTGGAGATGATTTGTTGTGAGGGTGGTAAGTGGGAGCTGAGAAGAGCACTGTTCTCTGAGTTCAGTCACTTACAGGATATCTGTGTAGACTGGAGAGTGGCAGAACAGTGGGGTGGCTTGGAGTCTTAATATGGTCCTGGCAATGCTGCAGTGTCTTTTGTGGAAAATATGGGCCAAGTATCATCAGCAGGCTGAAGGCCCAGGCATAAATATGCTGAGGACTTGTGCCAAGTCTAGGTCTTTGGGGCGCTGTTGTGTTAGGAGCAAGGGCAACGCAAAGCCTTGAGTGAGCCAGAGACTTCCTTCCTGCTTGGTGATACTGCGTTCGGGAGAAATGGCTCAGGTGTGTTTAAGGCAGGGTATTGCCCTTTTTGTCCTGGTACGTCCAACGCCTTGAAAGATGAAGTGTTTAGTCGTGCTGGTTCTTTAGAATAACATGGTCCTGTTAGCTGGGTCTGGTTGTTCCAGGTGACTACATCTGACTTGAGAACCCTTCCCTATTAAGTGTATATATAATCAGGTTGGATACTTGCCTGCATTTATTTTAGACTACTGCTTTCTCTGACTCCCGTAGAAGCTGTATGTGTATTGCATCCTGTGGTTGCTCTCCTAGGTAAGTAGTCTGGTGCATGACTGTAATCTCTCTGTACAGGATAACTTCAATGGCCTACCGGTGGGAACCTACCAGCCTTTCACTAACATCCATCCACCACCAATTCCGGCAAACCCACCAACATATGAGTCTGTAAGTGCCTGAGCTGAGTCGCTGTTGTGGGCAGCAGAGGGAACCTCAGAAAGGGTGCAGTGCTAGACACAGAAAAGGCAAATGTTCATTAAGCACATTGCTGTCAGCCTTTGGAGCTTTTGGGGTGGTGCTTGGCTTTGCTTATGGGTGTGGTGAATCACTGAGCGCATGTGATGGGAGAATGACTTGTGAGAAGTTCCTTGTTCAGCTGTGCGCTTTGGCTGCAAAGGAAAGCCAAGATCTGTTCTACCACATTGTTAAAATGCTGATAAACAGTTAATGAGTAGAGTCCACAAATTCTGTGGTTTTGCCGTGTGAAGGGTTTATCACCTTCAGTCTGTTTAATTATGGCTTTTAAACTAATTGATAGCTAGCCTGGATGAAAATTTTGGCTGACCCAGATGATACATGTTTAAACACTCTTCCCAGACTTTTCTCAGTCCCTGGGGACAACGAAGGAGAGGCTGGAGTCCTTTCTCTCTGTGCTTGCCTGTGCGTTTATTGCTGCAGTTCATGGTCATGTGTCTCATTGTGCTTTCAGTGACATGCTTCCTGTTTTTGCAGTGTCCCGAGTAGGGATGGGTGTAGCCAAGCACCTCTGTGTGCCAACACCTCGTACTAGCTGCACAGCAGCCTTTGAGTCCAGGAGATGCCGACAGAGGCAGCAGTTGTTAGCTGGGTAGAGATAGGTGGCACTGGTGGCCACAGGGAATGAGGGGTTACACCAGCACAACTGACCGTGCCCTGGGCCTTTGTCCCAACTGGACCAAGACCTGAGATGGGGTCACTTCATACCTTCCTACTGGTTATAAGGACCTATCTATTGCTCATGAAAGAAAGGAAGGAGTAGCCGTGATTACGTGGATGAAGAGGGCTGTCTTCTCCCACCTAGGTCTTGGATAAAGTGCTGGTGGATATGCTCTGTTTATCCAGTTCTGCAGTGTGGCCAGTGAAGCTGCTTTGATTGACCGGGAGGGAGAGGAAGCTCAAAGCACTACCTCCTTTTCTTGGGAAGAGAGGCAGATTCTTTGGAGTGTGCTGGAAGCCAGGGTTGTCTGCTGCCTTGGGGAGGGGTGGGGTATGCCTTGCTCTGCAGGGGTGCAGCTGCTGTTGCCCACAAGCAGCATCTTGTGGGCCCATGTGGTTTGTGCCTGGTAGGAGAGTGAGCTGTGGTAACTGGGAATCTTTTCCAGATTGATGAGCCGAATGCTGACAAGGATGCTTCTGCACCGGTGGCTGGTGAGTATGTTGAGATGTACGGGAAGCCTGGGGTGGTTAGGGGCTGTGGTGAGCTCGAGATCCCAGTGTCCCTGTGAGGAAGCTGTCCGTATAGGGAACAATGTGCAGAACTCTGCATACCTTGAGAACAGGATTTGAGTTGAGTTTGGAGAGGACTGACGGAAACAGAGAGTATCCTCTCAAAACAGGGAGCATCCAGACTTCCACTGGAAGACCCAAGAACTGGAGTTCAACTTTGGAGTCAGTACTCGGTCTCCAGCTTAAGCTGTCTCATCAGACCAAGTACAGGGTACTGCAGGATAAAATGAGAAAAAACACTCTATGTGATAATACATTTTTACACAGCATAAATAATACTGTTCTGCAGTGACAGGACGAGAGAAGTAAGCACTAAGGGGTAGACAGGTTTGTATTCATGCCAGCGTTGAGGCTGCGTACAGCAGAGCAGGGCTAGAGATAGCTGTTACCCCTTGGTCCATCTGCCTGAAGGCCTACGAGATGCTTCATGCAGGATTCTCCTGCCTTGTATAGTGTGATTCTGCGTTGTGTTTTGCAAGCGCTTGTTACTGCTGGCGCTTAATAAGGGCGGAGAGGGTTTGTAGCGTAAGTAGGCCCTTGCCAGCTCCAGCAAGGATTTTACTGATCCAGTGGAGCCCTCTGGGGAGTGTTGGTGATGCGTGCTGAAGAAGCTGTGGGTGTGCTGGATCTGGTGGTATGCTTTGGTTTGGCAGCTGGATGATGGCGTGCGATACCTGCATGTCTTCAGGAGGTGTTGGAGTGGAGAGAAGCAGGGCTTGGAATCCCCATGGTGCAGTCCAGCCAGTATGGGCGTGGGAGCTTCAGCCCACCTGCAGCTGGCCGTGGGTGGTGGAGGGGGAGCTCCGGCTGGCTGGTGCAGCCACAGGACAGGGTCACCAGTCTGGGTCTGCCTCGGCTGCAGCCCCTGGCCGCGGTATGAACCTGAAACCTTGTGCTTGTCCCCATTGAGTCTAAGTGCAGTTGGAGGTGTGCGATCACTGCCCTGCTTGGAAAAATACATCGGTACTGCTGTTTTGGTGGAACGACCTTCCTCTTGTGTGGCCCCACTTGGCCAGGTGAGTGTGGTGGCAGTGAGGTGGAAGGATATTTCTCTTCCTCTAAACAGGGCCCGGGCCCAAGTCAGAGCCTTCTCCTAAACCAAGGGCTGGAGCTCCTACCACCTTTGACAACTTCGTGCTGCCTGAATTACCGTCTGTGCCAGATACGCTGCCAACAGCTTCTGCCGGCGCCAACTCTTCTGCCTCCGAAGACATTGACTTTGACGATCTTTCTCGGAGATTTGAGGAGCTAAAGAAGAAAACATAAAACCGACTGGGCCGTAGCTCCACGGCGGGGGCAGGAGCCCCTCGGGAACAGACTCCCTTTGAAATCGGTTTCCTGTATTTAACCTCAGCGTCTTTTTGAGCTCTCTTCCTGCTGCACTTAACCCCCACGCTGCCGCTTTCCTGACCTCCCCGGCTCCGGGAGGGGAACGGCGGGGAGTCCGGCGCGAGGGCCCGCGCTGGGGGCCCAATAAAGCCT